GCCCCGAGACGACCCAAGAGCCCCAAGAGGGTCCCCAAACGGCCGAAGAGGGCCCCAAGACGGCCCAAGGCGCCTCCAAGACGGCCCAAGAGGCCCCCAAGACGGCTCCAGGAGAGCGCCCAGACGGGGGACCCGAACGGACATTTCGAGCCCTCAGCCCCAAGAGGCCCACAAGAGGCCCCGAAAAAGCCCCAAGAGGCCCCAAGAGGCTCCCAAGGGGCCCCCAAACTGCCCCCCAGAGGCCTTCGAGAACGCTCGGAAGAGACCCCAAGAAGCACCCCTGAGGACTCAACCCACATCAGCGTCGTCGTCGCTAGCGCCGCCGCCGCCGTCGTCGTTCGTTCCCCTTCAGGGACGGGTCCCAGAGCTCAAAGAGGCCTCTGGACGAGCGAAGATTTCCCCGAGACGCCTTCAAGACAGTTCAAGAAAACGTTGAATCACCGAATGATCTGTACAAGACGCCTTCGCAGCCTCTGGACGGCCCCATAGGCCTGCAAGACGGCGCAACATGCCTCCAGGCGCTATCCCACGAAAGCCCAAACAAGAAAAATCCTTTGATGATCGTCCGTTTTCCACAGATTCTTGCATTATCATTTCTTTCGCTCCTCGAAGATCCCAGACAACCCCACAGGCCCCCAAGATCGCCCCGAGACGCCCCAAGAAGCCTCCAACAGAGTCCTAAACTTCCTCCACCTCCCACTCATCATCCTCCTCCCCCTGCCCCCCCCCTCGTTTTGGTCTTCGTCGATCTCAGGGTCGGCCGCACCGCCCGTCAGACCTTCGCAATAGTCTGATAATATTCTAAAAATACCCCAAAACATAGTCCCTGAGCATTTTTTGACGATTTTTGACTATCCCTCCTGTGGAGGGACAGGCCCGACTTAAATTTGGTTCAATGATTCTGGGCAACTTTTGGGGGGGCTTCGGGGCCCAATCACCGACCGGCTCCCCTCGCCCGGGGTCCTGGCTGTCGGAGGTTGGGGGGGTGAGATCGCAGCGGAACGGAGAGTTACAGTCAACCCACAAAGTAAGGATGGGCAGCCTTCCCAAGGGTATCCTTGCATCCTTGCCTCCTCGGCCCATCCTTCGCCGCTGTCGCTGGCCGCACCCATCTCGAAAAACTTCGAAATGGGCGTCCAAGGCCCTTGCATCCGCATCGCGCACCCTTACTATACTGCTTCACTGTACCCCCCACCTGGAAATCGGCCCCGGCGTCGTGCCCGTGTCGCGCGCGCGGGGGAGGCGAGGCTGCGCCGGCGCAGGCATGGTGCCGCCGTGGCTATCGGGCCGTGGAGCCGCTGGACCGTCCCCTCCCCCCTGGTGGGCGCGCGGGTGCCCCGGGGGCGCCCCGCCGGGGGGGGCGGGGGCACCCCGTCGGCGGCGCGGGGTGCCCCGTCGGCGGCGAGGGGTGCCCCGACGATGGCTCGGGGTGTCCCGCCGTGGCGTCCCGATGGTAGCTCGTGAAATCAGTTGTGAGATCGATAGTGAGATCGATTGCGTGATCGCGGTCGTGAGTTCGATCGTGAGATCGACAGAGAGATCGATAATGAGATCGATAGTGAAATCGGCCGCGGCGCCGCTCACGGAAAACGCCCGCTCTAGGCGCCAAGGCCCAAGAGGCTCCGGCCGTAACCATTTTGGCGCAAGCCTCCGGCTCTAGGCGCGTGGTTCCCGCGCTGGGATGGGACGAACCACGCGCCGCGCGGGGTGGATTGGGCGAACCACGTGCAGGAGCGGGCAGCCTGAGGTTCGAGTGCAGCGATGTCCGGGTCTCATGATCTTCACGGCCTCGCCCCAGCGGTGACCCTGCCTTCGGGGCCGCGTGAATGGGATGAGCGCGGGCGCCGGGCGCAGCGCCGGGAGGCGTGCACTGCGGCGGCCACGCGGAGAGGGGATTCCGGCGCGGCGGCGGGGCACTTCGCCAGGGCGCCTCGCGCCGGACCCGAGAGGGCCTATGGGAGCGGAGCGCGCGGCCGCGCCGCGTGCACTCGAAGGCGCACGCGCCCGATGCCCTGGCAGCAGGAGGCCCCGTGGGCGCCGGCGCGCCGGGCGAGCCTCGCATCCCGTGGCCGAGCGAGCCGCTCGGCGTCGACCTGTCGGCTGCCCACGGGCGGCGCGGCCTGCGCCCCGGTGCTGGAGGGGCCGCTCCGCGCCTCCTCGGAGCCAGTCCTTCGGCGCGCGCCAAGCAGCGCTGCGGATGCGCCTCCGGCGGGCGCGCTCGGGGGTCGCGTCGCCGGGTTCTGCTGGTGCGTCGGGCGCCGCCGTCGGCCCGAGAAGCTTGCGATGCCGCCGTCGGGCGACCAGCCGTGGCGCCCCGCGGTCGAGGCGCTTGCGATTCCGCATGCCTGGGCTATCTAGCCCAGGCAATGAGTCTTGGGCCGCCTGTTTCCGCGCGGCATGGCTTGCAGACAAAAAGGGTGCGATTCGTCATTGCGAACATCGTCGCCGACACTGCGAATTGCCTTCCATAGTGGCCCAGCGAAACTCGCGACCGTAATGGACGTCGTGGGCGCATTTGTTTGGCCTGCTGGCGTTCCGATGGTGTCGCGATATGGTCCTGCTGGTGTCTCGTTCGTACTGAACGCCTTTCGACAGCGCGATCGAAAGTGAGATCGATAGCGAGGTCGACGGTGAGATCGATGGTGGAATCGATAGGGCGGTCAATGGTGAGATCGATGATGTAATCGATGGTGGGATCGACAGCGCGGTCGGCAGTTAGATCGACGGCGAGATGTCCCGGCGGCACCCACGCGGCGCCCCAGTTCTTGCGCCGTCGTTACCAAGGCGATCGTCGGAGGCGATGGGGGCGAGCTCGCAGTGGAACGGAGAGCTCCCCGCCGGCGGCCTGGTCGGGGGCGCCCCGTCGGTGGCGTGCGGGTGCCCCGTCGGTGGCGCGGGGTGCCGCGACGGTGGCCAGGGGGTGTCCCGCCGTGGTGTCCAGAGGGTGACTCGTGAGACCTGCTGAGGGATCGATAATGAGATCGGTTGCGTGGTCGGTGCTTCTATCAAGACATCGGTAGCGCGATCGATGGTGAGATCGATAGCGAGATCGATCACATCGGATCGTTGGTGATGTCCCGCCGCTGCTGGGGGAGCCCCATCGTGGTGTCCCGATGGTGTCTCGTAAGATCGATTGGGAAATCGGTAGCGGGAATGAAGGTTAGATCGAATGGCAGTGAGGTCGACAGTGAGAGCGATAGTGAGATCAACAATGGAGTCGATAGTGAGAACAATAAAAAAGATCGACTGTTAGACCGATCGTGAGATCGACAAGGAGATCGACAGCGAAGTGTCCCCGTTGTCCCCACGTGGTGTCCCAGGCGCCTTGCGTCGAAGTTTCCTGCGCCATCGTCACCATCACGATCGTAATTGCAGTCAAGATTTGCGTTGCCACTGCTACCGTTTACATCGCCGTGGCCGTTCCCGCTCTGACCGCGCCGCCGCAAACGTGCCGCGCCGTTGGCGGTCGCGGCTGCCAGGCCCGCGTCTGCTCGCGCAACCGCTCGCGCAGGCGGGCGCACGGGCGCCATGGCAGCAGAAGCGTATCTTCTGGAGCACCGCGCCAAGAGGACTTCGTGGCACACCGCGAGGCACAACCATGCAGGCGCCCAAAATGCCACGGCGGCCATACAGCGCAGGCCATAGGAAGTCCAAGGGACTCTCGGCGCCGGGCCCTGCCGCGGCCGACGCGCTCCTCTGCCAGCGGCTGATGGCCCGCGTCTCGTCGTGCGCGGCGCGGGCAGAAGAGAAGATGAAGCGTCTGAACTGTCATGTTTCCGCGCGTTTGCCGCTCTCATCAGTGCGCCCCCGTCAGACGGCCTGCTTCGCCCAATGCGCTAGGCGATCCCTCCAGCCCAACAAGGCTGGCGCATCTGCCCAACGCCGACCTGGGGCACCAGGCGCTGCCCTTGCACATCCCGGCGCGACTGCAGATTACAGCCGCGGAGGCCGCGACGCCAGACGCGGAAGCGCGCGTGGCTGATCTCGCGCGCCAGCGTCTGTTCGCGCATGGCGGAAAGTTCGACCCGCCGCGCATCAGAATCTTAAATATGGGGCTCGCACCACACGACGAGCGCGTGCACTGCATGTTCAATAAGCTCCTGCCGCCTGGGGGTCTTCAGACTTTCATCGCGAATGCCTCCGAATTATGTTGCAACCATAGAGGCACGAAAGGTGCGACCATCATATTGGCGAAAGGCGAGAGCGCGCGAGAGGCAGGTTCGGAGGTCATGGCACCAGGCTCTGCCAGTGCGTCGGCCACCGCCGTCGGCTCGGGAGCCGCGGCCGCGCCTTCGGCTGGGGAGTGGCGCCGGGCGGACACCAGGCAGGCGGAGTGGTGGAGCTGGCAGCACGCATGGGAACGGGGCTGGAAGGAAAAGGATTGGGGGCAGCTGCGCGGCCGAAGGCATGTGGCGGAGAAGTTTGTCCGGCGGATCTGCCGATGGCCGGGGCGGCCAGAGCGATCATGGTCGGGCCGCCGCGGATCAGCCGCCGGAGCTGCCGCCGTCGCCCTCGCCGCCGCGCGAGGACATCATCGAGAAACTCTCCGACAGAAGGCAGCTGCGGGAGGGACCAGCCGTGGCGACACACGGTCCGGGGGCTCGCGATTCCGCTCGCCCAGGCGGGGGTGCCGCGTGGCGCGGCGCCCGGGTCTGCTTCCCGGCCAGCGCCGCACAGAGCGATGCTGTGGAGAATGCCTGGGGGGGTCTTGCTTGATTCTCCATGCATGGAGCGCGCCGCCTCCCACGCCTCGGCGCCGAATGGCTCCAAGCATTGCCAGTGCGCAGTGTTGGCAGCTCCATGGGCGGGCCATTATGCATTTGCACCATCAGCGTCATCGGGCATCGTCGCCGTCTCGTGAGCGCAACGCTTCACACCGTCGCCATCAAAGTTATCGCAGTTGCCGCCAGTGGGCTTTTCCTCACCCGACCTCCTTATCACCCGAAGGGTTGTCATACAGGTATCCGAACTGGGCGGCGAGATGAGCCGAAGGCCACTAGACACACGCCCTGCCGCACCTCCGGTCGCACGCGCCGGAGCCTCAGCGCGATCTCGCGGCGGGCCCTCCGCGCGTGGTGCTCCGAGACCTCGCCGCCGCTGAAGATCGGGGAGGCGCAAGGCGCGGGCTCTCCGGGCGCTCGGGTTGGCGGCGCGCCCAAGGGGGGTGGGGGGAGGGGGGAAGGCCTTTTAGAAGGAGGCTGCTTCTTAGAAGGCGCTGACCCTGCATCCACAGATGAGGCCTAGGCCTTCTAGGAAGCAGTGGTGCTTTGCGAGAAGCCCTTCCTCCTCCCCCTATACCCCCCTCTGCTCGGGGCACTCGGGTTGGCCTGACAAGGCCGGCAAGAAAACGGGGAGACCCCATCTGAGACTTGACGCGAGCTCCCGCTGCAGGCCTCCCACGAGAAGTGGGCCGTGGAAATCCAGGGGAAACCAAAAAAGACACCGATATCGCTGCTTCCTCAACCTCTTCCTGGGTACGCTCTGACCAGAATCGCGAGGCGAAACCAGCGGTGGCATGTGTGCCTCCCAGGAGGCCCAAGACGGGGAAAACGAGAGAGGTATGAAAACCCAGAGGTCCGATGTCGTGATTTTTTGAATGCGGGGTCCCCAGAGATCTCGACTCCTTCCCCGGAGCCGGTTTTTTATCCTGAATCGTTTTTGGACGGTCCCGTGGCCTGGCGAGGGCCCCTAGAGGCCGAAAACTGAACAAAAACCTCCGCCTTGTTTTTTTTTGTCCAGACGTTGGACCTCTGGGTACCTCTCCTCCTCTGCGTGGCAGCCGGGAAGGCGGGCCCGTCAGACAACGCGGGCAAAACCGAGGCTCCAGCGGGCCCGAGCCTCAGCGCGTCCCCCGAGAAGAGGCGGCCGCCCGTGAGCCCGCAGTCGTCGTGCCTGACGTGGTCGTGGGCGTCTCCGAGGGCGAAGACCGGGGGTGGCTGAAGGTGCCCCTGGCCCAAGGGAGGAGGAGGAGGAGGAGGAGGAGGAGGAGGAGGAGGAGGAGGAGGAGGAGGAGGAGGAGGAGGAGGGCGGAGGAGGAGGAGGAGGGCGGAGGATGAGGAGGAGGAGGAGGAGGAGGCTGAGGAGGAGCCGGAGGAGGAGTGCCCCCAGCTTGCCGCTCCATTTGGGAGCCCATGGGGGCCTCCTGGGCCTCGTGAGAGGTGCTCTGGAGGCCGCCTGGGCCACCCCAGGGATCCTGGGGGGCACCTTGGGCCAGGGGCCCTTCCGGCAACACCCGAGAGGAGGCCGCCGCCGACGGGCCGGCCCGCTCCGTCGCAGGCGACGTTGTCGCCGCAGTCCTGCAGGCACCTCGGGCGCTGCTCGATGCCGTGATCACTACGCTGTCCCGGTTAACTGGCACGAGACCGCAACCATTGGGGAAAAAAGATAGCGGCATCGTCCCAACTGACACTCACCACCATCACGCCCGCGGCTCGGCCACGCCAACACAGAGGTATCCCAGGGGCGGTGTGTTGCCCCAGTAAGGGGGAGCATCCCACCGTGCGTAGCAGCCAAGTCACAGCAGAGACGCGGGACGCTCGATGCCATGATCAGTGGAATCGGCGGCAAGCATGGGGGAAAGCGAGTGGGCAGGCCTTCTTAGAAGGCGGCGGCGGCGGGGCTTCTCAGTGAAGCCCTGGCGCCTTCGGAGAAGCCGGCTCTGTCTTCGGAAAAAAGCTCAGAAGGCTTCTGATACGGAGCAAAGGCTTCTGAGAAGCCCCGCCCCCTCTCACTTCCCCCCGGGCTCGCCGCCAAGGAATGCCAGAATTTTCCTGGACGCACCCGACCAGATCGGTCGCTACCGATTTGGCTTCAAATTCTGGTATCGGTCGCGACCGCTTTGCCTCAAAATCGGTCGCGACCGACTTTGGAAACGGTCGAGTCGCGACCACGTTGGAGTGAACGATCGATCGCTACCGATCGCGACCGAACAAATCTGGTATCCAATGATCTTGGTGGGGGGGGGCGATGAATGGCGGGGGCGACGAAACGTGCACCTTTCGTGCACGAAGGGCGCACCTCTCTTCTTCTTCTTCTTCTTCTTCTTCTTCTTATTCTTCCTCTTATTATTTTTCTTCTTCTTATTATTATTACTATTATTGTTATTATTATTTCTCTTCATATGATTATGTTGATTATTATTGTTCTTCTTCGCAAGCACTTACACACACATACACACACACGCGCGCGCACGCGCACGCGCACGCGCATCCGCACCCGCACACTCACACGCACACGCACACGCTCGCCCACTCGAATAGCCGGGGACGCGCGGCGTACAAAGTTTAGGTCGGGCATGTCCCCCTACAGGGGGATTTTGGATGAAACGCAAAAAATACTCAAACAGATTCGAAACTCACCCAAACTACATACTCAACGCAAACGTCCCATGACTATGTTTGACTGTTTGGGAATTTTCCTCCTGTAGAGGGACAGGCCCGACTCAATACCAAGTAGGCAACACGAGATGTGAGACAAGGAAGAGGGCGGCCGCCGAAACCAGGCGGGGATACGGGGGGCACGCACACCCCGTCCATCGCCCCCCCCCTTACGCAATGCCCGGGGCACCAGAGGCAGAACGCGCGCCGGCAGTCGGGGCGCGTGCACCAGACCGCGTCGCACCCCCTGTCCTCGTCAATCAGGAAGGGCGCACGGCAGGACAGGCTGGCGACGCGCACCAGACGGGCGGGGCGAGGGGCCTTCAAGCCTTCGAGGGAGGACAGGGGGGCATCTCCGGAGCCCACCCACATTGTCAGAAGCCTCCTTCGAAGCCCCCAGACCGTTTCTACGGTCTGAACTTTTGCTTGGCGTGTCGCCACGGCGACCCCGGCGACACGCTATGCCCTGCGAGCGGATAGCTTGTCGCTCCGCTCCGCGGGGCGGGAGACTCAGGAAGGCTCGAGACGCTTTTTTAGCCTGGGGACAGGGAATTGGATAGCGTGTCGCGCCGAAGCGTGGTGGGCCAGAACCGGCAGAGCGACACGCTATCCAAAAGCTCCCGACAGCAAGGCCTTCGAGGAGAATATGGGATTCTTCGGAGCCCACGCACGATGTAAGAAGCCTTCTTCGAAGTCCCCAGACCCTCCTAAGAAGCACCCTGCCTTCCCAGACATCCAACGTCGCGATTTACTCGCAGTGCGGCCCCCCAGAGGCCTGCCTTCCCGCGGACTAGTTTTGCATCCCGAATTGTTTTGAGCGGCTCCGGGAGCCCGGCAAAAGCCCCGGAAGGCGGGAGATAAAAAATCACGGATCCGTACAATGGATTTTGTTCACGCTTGATGTTTTCGCCCGGCTCCCGGCCCCGGGACCATCACGAATCGATCCGGCTCGAAACATGCAGCAGAACAATGTTGCCTAGAGCTCCAGGCACGATTTCATCGCGATGCTGCAATGTTGCGCTATACGTCGGATCTCAGGGAAGCCCCCACGCCGTGATTTTCGAAACGGCCCGAGGGTGCCAACTTGGGAGGCCAACCGGCACGACCCGCCCACGGCATCCACGACGGGAGGTGTCTCGCAGTTCCTGGCCTCTGGGTGCCCATATGCTGGGCCCCGTGGCCGTCGAACAACTGCACGGGATGGAACGCCAGCCCCCAGAAAGGGGCCAAGACCTCCCTGAGGGGGCCCGAGAGCCGACACTGCGCATACAACTACAACCTCGTGCACATTCGCGACCGGAGCCCTGGACCTCCTCGCGCCGCTGCGTTCCTCGAGTCGGATCGGTCCGCTGCGGCCCCGGGGCCCGAAGCCCGCCGAAAACGCCTGGAGTGAAGTTCTCGCACCGCCCCGACCTCAAGGGACTTCTGGGGAGCCACGCCGCGACAAGAAGGCGACGCCGGGTCTCTGGCGCGAGCGCCGCCAGATGGGCACCGCAGCACGAGCAGCTCCTGCAGCTGCCGCACCAGCCTCCGCACCGCCGCCTCCGCGCCCTCCACGCCCTCCTCCGTCGCCGGCCCGCCCTCAGCGCGCTCGGCCTCGGAGGCGCGGGCGGCCGCGGCGAGCGCCGCCTCCAGCGTGCCGCGCGCCTGAGAGGCAACGTGAGGGGGGGACTGGCTCTGGGCGGGGACACCTCGACCTGGAGTCAGCGATGCATCGCCGATACACTGGCGATGGACCCCCGCTGGCGAGTCCGCACGTTCGTGGGCGGGTGGGCCATCGGGCCCCTACATCGGCGATGCCCTGAGATCCGACGCTGCAAAAAACATCTCACATCGCAGAACATCAGGACCCAATCCCTGGACCCCATCTTTCTGCGTCAAGTTCCAAGCCAGATCAATATATATATATATATATATATATGATATTATGTGTGTGTGTGAGTGTCCCGGGGCCCGAAGCCAGGCGAAAACGCTGGTGTGCAAAAACTGCGGCGCCGGGATCCCAGGGCAGGTGGGCAATTGGGCCCGCTGCGTCCCCCTCTGACGTTGCCCCGGAGCGCCAGCAGCGGCAGAACGCCGGCGACGCCGGCGGCGCCCAGGGGCGGCGCGCTGGCGCAGGCGGGGCAACCGCGCACGCGCGCCAGCAGCCGCGTGGAGGGAAAGGAAGCGACGACCACGACCAGGGGGCCAGAAAACAAACACGACACCGATCCACCTGCGGCCCCCACGGGGCTCAGCGCATACCAGGAAATCTGGCGTGGGATTCTGCTTGGTGTACGCTACGCCCCCCATGTGCCGCAGCGCAGCATGAAGGGGCCGAGGGGAGGGCGGGGTGGTGTCGTTTGTTCTTTGGTCGAGGTACCCAAACTGATCTTTTCGTGGGAGCTTCCCTGTCCGGCGCGCGCAGTTTCGCGTGACGCCGTGTTGCGTGGAAGCGCTGGCCCGATTAGGGGAACTCTCGCGAAGTCGTCCCAGGAGTTTGCCTCGCCATGCCCGAGCCCGAGCCCGAACCCGAGCGAGCGCGGAAACGTATCTTCGTCGTGGTCGCCGCGTCTGCTCCCTCGACTGCGGCACGGAGCCGGCTCCGCCGCACTCGTGCAGGCCCCACTGGCTGGCGACCCACTGGTCGAGGCACTCGCCGTCCGCGTGGAGCAGGTGCTCGCCGCAGGTGCACTCGAAGCGCTCGCGCGGTGTCACCGCGCCGCCACAGAGCAGGCAGCTGCCGGGCTCGCCGGGCGGCATGCCGCGCGCCTGGGCCCGCTCGAGAGCGGTGTGTCGCGTCTCCCCGCCGCATCGCCACAGAACCGCCATCTATCCCCTCCTTCTCCCGCCCTCGCCCCTCCCCCTCCTCCTCTCTCTCTCTCTCTTTCTCTCTCGCTCTCTCTCTCTCTCTCTCTATGTATCTCTCTCTCTCTCTTTATTTGTGTTCTCTCTCTCTCTCTCTCTCTCTTATTTATATATATATGTATGTATCTGCAAATTTCCATAGTGTAGATCATACTTGTGTATATCTCTCTCTGCCTCTCTGCACTTGCAAAACGTCCCTGTGGGTGGTAGGAGCACCCTTGAAGGGGATGAGTGCAGCGTTCGGATTGCGATTGGTCGATCGGAAATATCTCACTGTGTACGATATACATGTAGACTGGTAGATACGCATAACAAAACTTTATATATATATATATATAGAGAAAGAGAGATCGAGTTGCATCACGGTGTAGCAATCGGTCCTACTATACATCATGCTTCTTCTGTCTAGAAGTCTGTCAGTCTATATCTATATATATATATGTGTATACAAACAAACACCATGCCCGCCTCTACCTATAAAAGAGCATTGCTCTTTTCACATGCGCTTGGGCACACTTCAACCAGATTAGCATTACGACATTGCTGCACTCGGGATATGAGGGTCTCTGTATGGGTATATGTGTATACACATGCTTATGTTTCTTACGTATACGAATGCGAATTGGCATTTGGAGGGAGAAGACGGAATGAACCCAGTACGGAAATCGGAAGTCGGAAATCTCTTTGAATCTTGCCTTTCGCCATCACGGAGACATTCGTGTATCAGATCACTCGAGGCTTGCTACAGCTCCCCTACTGCTACCGACGCTGCAGAACCATGGGCGCGCAGGTCTGCGCTCTGCGCCAGGAGGGAAAGTCGCTGGACACACGCTTCCGGGACAGCTTCTGCGTCCGAGTGGTCATCCGCCCCCAGCAAGCCTCCAACAGCAGACCCCGCTCGCCCCAAGTGTCTGACGTAGAAATTCAAGTACGGGATGCCTTGCTGCGTACGTCCATGAACGATTTTCAGCTCGATCAAACCAAAACGATCCCATTCTGCAGTCGCGTTGACAGCAACTTGCGAGTCGTAGTGGAGCCCTCCTGGTTGCTTCGCCTCTGCCCATGCACCTGTGACGTTCAAGCTCTGGAAATACATATCCGAGCATTGCCCACCCAGTCGGCGTGCCTCAGCCTCCACACGAAGCAATGTGCTCTTGTCGGGCTCCCCGCGGGGGATGTGTATCAGAACATGCCTGCCAGGCTTCATCACGTCGAACCGCTCACCATAAATGTTCTGCAGATGGGGATCGCCGGTGGCAGCTATCGCGCCCGAGGAGGGGCTCGCGGAAGCCGACGACGTCGGGCTGGGCACAGCGGCGCAGATCAATGAAGCGCTGGGAAGAGTGCTCGCGGTGTACCAGTACCAGCTGTTGCCCCATGCGCCCCACCCGCCGTCCCATTTTGCACAGCTGCCGCCGTAGTCGCTGGAAGCCCAGGGGCCCGGAGTGAGCCCCAGCGCACTGCCAGCTGCGTCACACTCTGAAGTGGACGAGATCGCAACATATCCGATTGGACACGACCCGAGTGCCGTAATGTATGTATCCTGGGAGTCGTGCGCGCGACGATAGATCGCTTGCACCTGCGCCCCGAACGCTAGAGATGCACACACAAATACACGGATATGGTAAGACATTGTAGAGGGTTCAGTCGCCGGTTTAGGGGTTCCAGCTAAAATGGCTTGGGCCAAAGAGTGGCTGCGGATGCCAATCGCTAGCCTTCGAGCCCATCGTTTTGTTATTCGCGATAGCGCCCGTAACCAGCCCCGCCACGCCTCCCGGTGGTCACGTCACGGTCCGCGCTGGCGCCGTCTGAAAATCAGCCAGTCTTGGGCATTCCCAGACGGCCGGGCGCGAATCGTGACGTGACCGCCCCCCGTCACATCTGGTCACGACCGTTATCGCCAGGTGATGCAAGTCGGTCTCTTCTCGCTCAGATTCTGGGACAGTAAGATGCAGAAGAAAACAGAGGCGGACGCCACTTCCGTAGGTCGATGAGACCCCCCAGTACACCACTGCTTTCGGGTAGAAGGCAACGGATATCGCAGGTGGCCAACGCCCCCATCCGTAGCACAAGCACCTACCGTACATCGACAAAAGATTGCTCCACTTGCGCCATGCATTGGCACCTGAATTACATTTCCCCCCGGTCTCAATCTTGGACGCATGGCGAAAAGCCTTTGAGGCACATGCGGGATCCCGACATAATGTTTCACCACCTACCTGTTCCGACTGACCCAGACTGAGCCCCAAATGAAAATCGAGGGAGTGCCCTCGAGGCACGAGTTGGAGTCTCCACAGGTCCCTTGTTGGATCCGCTGGAGCCCCAGTCCTCAATCCTGAGGATAATTTAAGGGGGCCCAGACCCAAACTTGCCAAATAATTCTGGAACTCCTCGCGTCCTCTCGCGTGACTTTCGGGCCCAAGAGGGTCCCAAGACAGCCCCAACAGGCCCCAAAGATGGCCTAAGAGGTCCCCGAGTCGCCGAAGGATGGCTCCAAGAAGCCCAAGATGGCTTCAAGACCGCTCACGATGCCCCGAAGACGCCCGACGAGGCCTCCGAGAGGCCTCCCGAGAGGCCACCACGAGGCACAAGCACTCGATGTGCCTTACGTGCTCCAAGGATTCGGGCGGTCTCGCCCACCCGGCCTCCCGACGCTCCAGGGCGGCCCACGAGGCCCCAACGGTCGCCCCAGGACGGCCCAAGAGGCCTCCACGAGGGCCCCAAAACGGCCCACGAGGGCCTCAAGACGGCCCAAGAGACCCCCAGGACTGCCCAAGAGGCCCCCAGGACGGTTGCCAGAGGGGGGCCCCGACGGGGGACCTGCACGGACATTTCGAGCCCTCGGCCCCGCGAGGCCCCCAGGAGGCCCCAAGAAGCCCCCAAGAAGCCCCCAAGAGGCCTCCAAGAAGCCCCCAGGAGGCCCCCAGGAGGCCCTAAGAGGCCCCGAGCGGCTCCCGAGGGGCTCTCAAGTGGCCCCCAATAGGCTCCCAGGAGGCCCAAAACTGTCCCCAAGAAAGAGGGCCCCAGCAGCGCTCCGAAAAGACCCCAAGAAGCATCCCTGAGGATTCTGATCCACAACCCAGACACGGTGGCGGGGTGGGCCGACGGCCAGTAGATACAAAAACGGTGCGCGCTACTGTCCGCACCAGGTGGCGCAACATGTCGTCGATGCACCGTAGGGGCCCAGAAACGCAGCTTGCGGCCTCATTGAAGGTGTCTTTGTAGACCATGGACGCATGCATTCGAAAAGACGCCACCTGCATCACACCCTGAATTGAGATAGAGTGCGCTGGCAGTGCGCCACGTGACTGATATTGCTACTTCAAATCACCATGATAGGGAGCAACGTGTAGCGCGTAGCTGCTTCTTTTGGTACCTACGATCCCCGAGACGTGGAACTCCTGCAGTTAGACGTTCGCGCTTCTCGCGGAACGATGCTGAACAAGTGGGCTCCCGTGTGTCTGGGTGTATGCTGTTTGCGCCGGTTTGAGTCGCCTCATCCACTTCTTCCGTTCCTTCCTTGCTTCTCGCCTCCGCCTCCTCGTGTGTGAGTGCGTGCGTCTGGCGGATGCAGTGACGCCACTTTGCCGCTGGATTTGCCGAGCGCGTGAGATAATACTACCGCCAGAAAATAAAGGTCGGGGGTATGGCGGGGATACTCAACGATCTTCTCAGGGAAAGCGATGTTAGTTATAAGTTATGATGGTGATGGCGATGATCATGATGATGGTGACCCCGGGCGCTCGTGTAGACTGACCTTGTAGATCGTGGCACCGTGTGAGGGATGCGCTAAAAAGCAAT